TTGTGTACCATGTATATATTTGTGTGTTTGTAGTGATGTGTTGTTGTACACATGTATGTATATATGTGTTTTGTAGTGATGTGTTTTGTGTACACATGTATGTATATATGTGTGTTTGTAGATGGTTTGTGTACACATGTATATATATATTGTGTTTTGATTGTATGTGTACACATGTATGTATATATGTGTGTTTTGTAGTGATGTGTTTGTGTACCTTGTATATGTGTAATGTATGATATGTTGTGTTTATTAGTGGTAGTGATGTTTGTGTACACATGTATATATATGTGTGTGTTTGTAGTGATGTGTATGTGTACACATGTATGTATATATGTGTGTTTGTAGTGATGTGTTTGTGTACACATGTATGTATATATGTGTGTTTGTAGTGATGTGTTTGTGTACACATGTATATATATATGTGTGTTTGTAGTGATGTGTATGTGTACACATGTATGTATATATGTGTGTTTGTAGTGATGTGTTATGTGTACACATGTATGTATATATGTGTGTTTTTGTAGTGATGTGTATGTGTACACATGTATGTATATATGTGTGTTTGTAGTGATGTATATGTGTACACATGTATGTATATTATGTTGTGTTTGTTTGTGTGATGTAATGTGTACACATGTATGTATATATGTGTTTTGTAAGTATTGTGTAAGAAGTGAAAAGTAAACATCAAAAAAAACTTGTATGATCTACATAATAATTCACAGTAAAGAAGAGCACAGTTCCGTGGTACAGCTGTCAGCCTGGCTGACTCTGCTGTCAGCCTGGCTGACAGCTGCAATAATAATAATATAATAATATCTGCAATAATAAAACACAAATACTTTTAAACAGCTAAATAAGTAAAAAAAACTTGTTCTTCGTATATTTTCAAAGTGTAACATAAAAGGATTTCCAAAATTTACGTTAATTAGCCTCTCGGAGGTGGCGGAACTGTGAGGCCGCTTGGTGGCGTCTAGCTGACCTACGGTCCAGGCTGTCTTGGTGGAGTGTAATTACTGGACGCAGTTTTCTGTGTGTGTCACCTCCAGTAATTCCACCCACCTGGACAGTCTCTACCGTAGACCAGCTAGACAAGACCAAGTTTCCATGCAGCGAGGTCACTGAAGGTGGCAACCGCTGACTCTGGGGAAGTGGGGAAGGGAGTCCACCTGAGGTGACACTAGTGGACTCCTGGAGACACTGATCCGGGGAAGGCACCGCTGACTCTGGGGAAGTGGGGAAGGGAGTCCACCTAAGGTGACACTAGTGGACTCCTGGAGACACTGATCCGGGGAAGGCACCGCCGACCTTAGGGAAATGGGGAAGGGAAGACATCCGGAGCGAGCGGATGGATTCCTGGATACATGAACTTGAGGAAGGTTGTTGTTGAGGCTGACCTTGGGTAAGTGGGAGGGGAGACATCCGGAGCGAGCGGATGGATTCCTGGATACATGAACCTGAGCAAGGCAAGAATACATGCAGTTGAGGCTGACCTTGGATAAGTGGGGAAGGGAAGATATCCGGCGGTAGACGGAAGGATTCCTGGATACATGATCCTGCGGACGGCAAGAATACCGCTGACCTTGGGGAAGTGGGGAAGGGAGTTCACCTGAGGGGACATAAGTGGATTCCTGGAGACACTGATCCGGGGAAGGCACTGCTGACTCTGGGGAAGTGGGGAAGGGAGTCCACTCAGGTGACACAAGTGGACTCCTGGAGACACTGATCCAGGGAAGGCACCGCCGACCTTAGGCAAGTGGGTAAGGGAAGACATCTGGGAGCGAGCGGATGGATTCCTGGATACGTGAACTTGAGGAAGGTTGTTGTTGAGGCTGATCTTAGGTAAGTGGGGAAGGGGAGACATCCTGGAGCGAGCGGATGGATTCCTGGATACATGAACCTGGGTAAGGCATGAATACATGCAGTTGAGGCTGACCTTGGGTAAAGTGGAGAAGGGAAGATATCCGGCGTAGCTCGGAAGATTCCCTGGATACATGACCTGGGTAAGGCATGAATACATGCAGTTGAGGCTGACCTTGGGTAAGTGGTTAAGGGAAGATATCCGGCGGTAGACGGAAGGATTCCTGGATACATGATCCTGGGTACGGCAAGAATACCGCCGACTTTGGGGAAGTGGGGAAGGGAGTCCATCTGAGGTACATAATTGGACCCCTGGAGACACTGATCCGTGGAATGATCCCGCCGACCTTAGGCAAGTGGGTAAGGGAAGACATCTGGGAGCGAGCGGATGATCCTGGATACATTAACATGAGGAAGGATGTGTTTAGGCTGATCATTAGGTAAGTGGGGAAGGGAGACACCGGGAGCCGAGCGGATGGATTCCTGCATACATAACCGGGTAAGGCAATGAATACATGCGGTTGAGGCTGACCTTGGGTAAGTGGGGAAGGGAAATATCCGGCGGTAGACGATGAATTCCTGGATCAATGAACCTCTTAAGGCATGAATACATGCAGTTGAGGCTGACCTTGGGTAAGTGGGGAAGGGGGAGACATCCGGGAGCGAGCGGATGGATTCCTTGAAACATGAACCTGGGGACAGCAAGAATACAGGTTGGTAAAAGGGGGCTTACCTTAGGTTAAGTGAGGAAGGGAAAACATCCGGAGGCAGAACAGATGGGATTCCTGGATACATGAACCTGAAGAAGGCTGAGGCTGGAAGGCAGAGAGAGAGAGAGAGAGGCGAGGCTGACCTTAGGGAAGTGAGGAAGGGGAGACATCCGGGGCCCACGATGAATTCTGGACACATGAACCTGGGGAAGGCGAGGGAGTGGGGTCCAGTAAAGACGAACCACGGCCTCCACGTGCAAGGTCTGGTAACTCAGAGATAACTCTACTGACAGTGGTCGCAAATATATTGTATATAATTATAAATTGTATAATATACTATAATATATTATATTTATAATTTATTATTAATTATTTTTAATTTAAATCAGGACTTGGTTAATTTGGATTTCAAAAGCGTCAACCAGCTCTCCTGACAGTAGCATCGAAGGTGTTATCTGACTTCCCAGCCTCCCTGACATTAGCATCGAAGGTGTTATTCCTGACTTCACCTCCCTGACATAGCCATGGTGCATCTCGCTGGTGCCACCCCACGTTATCACAATCTGAAAAATTCCCCCCACAAAAATACTTTCACATTCAACACTTTCACCTCCTCACACATAATCACTGTCTTTGCCAGAGGCGCTCAGATACAACACTTTTAGAAGCGAATGTGAAGTAATATATATTTTTATTTTTTTTTATTCGCCGTATTCCTCCCGGCCGGGTCCTTTTCCAAGTAGTGGTGACCCGGCCTTGGCTTCCTAGCTGGGGAGTATATCGAGACGGAAGTCCTCCCATGGGAGGAGGCACATTACCCCCCCCTCATCTTTGGGACCAACTGTCTCTCAGGCCTAGCCACATTCCTCGCCCTCACGTGGCTCGTAGGGAAAGCTAGGCCTCTGATGTGCAATCTGCCCCGCCCCCAAAGGGATCGTGGGGATGGGCAGTCTTTAATATATATATCCCTCTAAACTGCCAATACCCAATATCCGAATGGGTAAAACTGGTCAGTTTTAACAAGACCTATTTAAAAATTAAGTCCATTCTTTATATTTCTCTGTACGTTTAAAGATACATTTTTCCTTTATGTTAATGTAAAAATAATACCCATGTTCAAAGAGCCTTAGAAAAACTTATCTAACCTTTAAGTTTGCAATTTATTAATAAACAAACACAATGAAATACATTTTTTCCGTTAGGTTCAGAATGAATTTCTGCGAAATTATAGCATACACAAACTTCACATGCATTATTCGGGCAAGTAACTTTCAATAAGAGCATCTAACACATACACAAAACTTACACTAGGATTATTCGGCATGTGTTAGTATGCTGTTATTGAAAGTTACTGTACTTTCTTTTATGTTACTTATTATCAACCCCAGGAGTCCCCAAAGGCCTGTTATCCTGTGTGTAAAGGGAGTAAAACAAAATAAACACAGCAGAAAAAACCTTTGACTTGCAGTATCCTTTCGCCAGTTTAGAAAGAAGTAATGTTACACTATATACACTATGTACCAACAAATAGTATTAGTGCACTCCACGGAAGCAAGGCAGAATAAAGCCACTAAGAGCAGACCTGCTCAACCACTCTAGAGTGGGAATGACAGGGCAAGACAGGCGAGTGGTACCACAACACCTCTGGGATTGCCAAAACCATCTTCTTCTCATTGCTGGAACCTGGGTACTGTTGAACGACGGGGCCCCCATCCATCAACCCTTAGTTACCCCTGGTTCGCTGTTTTGGGGGAGATAGCCTTAAAATGAGGGTGTGTACATGCGCCGAATAAAGGTTACGTACTCCTTTTGCAATGCCACAATACTGTACATGTAAGTTGTTCGGCTGTTGTTGTTTGTTGTTGCCCGTTTTGCGCAATACTTTGTTGTTCTTTTTCACGGTACGTCATGCTGTTTGACGTGCATGCTGTGTTGACGTGCATGCTGTTGTTGACGTGCTTGCTGGTTTACGGGCTTAGCTGAGTTGTCGTGCTTGCTGTGTTGACGTGCTTACTGTGTTGACGTGCTTGCTGTGTTGACGTGCTTGCTGTGTTGACGTGCTTTGCAGTGGCTAAACGTGCTTTCAGTGTTGACGTCTTGCTGTGTTGACGTTGCTTGCTGTGTTGACGTGCTTACTGTGTTGACGTGCTTGCTGTGTTGACGTGCTTGCTGTGTTGACGTGCTTTCTGTGCTAACGTGCTTTCTGTGTTGACGTCTTGCTGTGTTGACGTGCTTGCTGTGTTGACGTGCTTGCTGTATTGACGTGCTTTCTGTGCTAACGTTCTTTCTGTGTTGACGTCCTGCTGTGTTGGCGTGCTTGCTGTGTTGACGTGCTTGCTGTGTTGACGTGCTTTCTGTGCTAACGTGCTTTCTGTGTTGACGTACTTGCTATGTTGATGTGCTTGCTGTGTTGACGTGCTTGCTGTGTTGACGTGCTTTCTGTGTTGACGTGCTTGCTGTGTTGACGTCTTGCTGTGTTGACGTGCTTTCTGTGTTGATATGCTTGCTGTGTTGCCGTGCTTGCTGTGGATTGTTAAGTGAAGTAAAGGTTCAACACAGCTAGTTACTCTGCAAGGCACTTCAAACTTCCCCACAACACCTTAACACAACAGTGTCTCCCACACTGGCATGACTGTCTCCCCAGGCAGGTATATTGTGTCTCCCACACCGGCATGACTGACTCCCCAGGCAGGTTATATTGTGTCTCCCACATTGTCATTAACTGTCTCCCTAGGCAGGTATCTGTGTCTCCTCACTCTGGCATTACTTCTCTTCCTGGCAGGTATCCTTCTGTCTCCCACACTTGCATTATGTCTCACGCATGCCAGCATGCTTGAAGTCCAATCCCTCGCACACAAAACCTTCCTTTTCCCCTCCTCCCTCCAACCCATCCTAGGCCGACCCTTACCCCCCTTCCCTCCACCACAGATTTATACACTCCGAACGTCATTCTGATTTGTTCTATTCTATCTACATGTCCGAACCACCTCACCCCTTCTCATCCCTCTGGATAATAGTTTTGGTAATTCCCACACTTTCTCCTAATTTTCAAACTACGAATGCTCAGCATTAATAGTCACACCACACATAGCCCTCAGCCATGACATCTCCACTGCCTCCAGCATCCGCCTCGTTGCAACATTCATCACACATTCCAAGATCCATACAAGAGTGTTGGTACAACTATACCTCATACATTCCCCTTTTTGGGCTTTCTTTGGTCAAAGTTCTTTGTCTCCACAGACCTAATTTCCCGCTCACCCCTTTTCCCCTCATCAATTCTATGATTCACCTCATCCTTTCCCATAGACCCATCTGCTGACACGTCCCCCTCCTAAATATCTGAATACATTCACCTCCTCCATACTCTCTCCCTCCAATCTGATATCCAATATATCGTCACCAAAATTTTTTTATCCTCATAACCTTACTCTTTCCTATATTCACTTTTAATTTTTCTTCTTTACATACCCTACCAAATTCATCCACCAACCTCTGCAACTTCTCTTAAAGAATCTCCCAAAAAAGCAGTGTCACCCAGCAAAGAGCAACTGTGACAACTCCACTTTGTGCTTGATTCTTTATTTTTTAACTCTACACCTTTTGTCAAGACCCTCGTATTCACTTCTCTTACAACCCAATCTAAAATTATTGAACAACCATGGTGACACACAACATCCTTGTCTAAGGCCTACTTTTACTGGAAATAATCTTCCTCTTTCCTACCGATATTTATCTCTTGCGAATTACCAATGTCCTCATCCTAATGGTTTATAGCTCATTCTAACCTAACGTAAAATATACAATAAGTTTCTTTGGACGTGGGACGAGGGGACAGTTGCGCCATGTATTTATTAATCCATGCTTAAAGTAACGTTCTATATACTAAATATTTATTTCCTCAAATAATTTCTGACAGCACTCCCTTGGGCCCCTTTCCTTCACTTTTTTTTTGCTCGCTGTTTGGGTTTTTAGTTACATGTGCAGGCAGGAATTCCTGACCTTTTACCTAAACCTTCCTGGTTTACTCCTGTTATACCTCTCAAGCTTCAGCTACTGAAGGGGATTAGCCGAAAGATCTAAAGCTGACTTTTTACAATCCCGTGACTTGTGTTCATATTCTATATAATATATATATATATATATAATATATTATATATAAAAAATATATATATATATAATATATATAATATATAATAATATATAATATATATTATATATAATTTTATGAGCCAAATAGGTAAAAATAGGCAGTTAGCAAGAACTCATTTAAAAATTAAGTCTTTCTAAAATTTTCTCTTATATGTTTGAGATACTTGTCTCATTTACGTTAATGTAAAAAATTCATAATTTTGTAAACCAAAAGAATCATAGAAAACTTACCTAACCTTCTTATAACAAGCGCATTTAATTTAGCCTAATTCAACTAAATATATTTTAGATAAGTTTTACAATAATTTAAATAATAAACAAACACACTGAAACATTTTTTGTCGTTAGGTTCAGAATGATTTTTGGCGAAAATATTGCATACACAAGTTTTTCACTTTCCTTATTCGGCAAGAAGAGAGCGTTGCTAT